CACATTTCAAACAAATCAATTTTTTTCCTGTCGGCTTCCTTAACTATGAAGACATCATAGCACCTTCAATAGCGCTAATAGCCTATAGACAAGTGAACTTTCACTAACATTTGGATTTTCTTTTAATTAACCTGAAAGCCAATTGAATAGTTTCTTTTTTTGTTTTCTTTCCAAAACCTTGGTTTTAGATCTCTCTCTCCCCCCCAATCCCTACAATACCCTGCTTAAATTCTGCATTAACCATGTACTGTGACTCTCCCCAATAAGAAATATTTTCCTTTCTATATCATTTGTTGTTGTTTAGTTGTTAATTGCCTCCGTATCTTCCTCTTCTATTTGCCACAAGGTGATGGGGCCAGTGGCCATGATCTTAGATTTTTTTGATGTTGAGCTTCATGCCATTTTAATTTCTTTATTTTCTTTATTTTATTTTTGCACTCTCCTCTTTCACCCTCATTACAAGTTTCTTTAGTTCCTCCTCACTTTCTGCCATCAGAGTGGTATCATCTACATATCGGAGGTTGTTGATATTTCTTCCAGAAATCTTAGGGTTTGGGATTCCTCCAGTCCATGATGTATTCTGCATATAAGTTAAATAATCAGGGAGACAATATACAGCCTTGTCGTACTTCTTTCCCAATTTTGAACCAATCAGTTGTTCCGTATCCAGTTCTAACTGTTGCTTCCTGTCCCACATATAGATTTCTCAGGAGATAGATAAGGTGGTCAGGCACTCCCATTTCTTCAAGAACTTGCTATAGTTTGATGTGGTCCACACAGTCAAAGCCTTTTGCATAGTCAATGAAGCAGAAATACTGTAGATGTTTTTCTGGAACTCTCTGGCTTTCTCCATAATCCAACGCATGTTAGCAGTTTGGTCTCTAGTTCCTCTGTCCCTTCGAAATCCAGCTTGTACTTCTGGGAGTTCTCAGTCCACATACTACTGAAGCCTACCTTGTAGGATTCGAAGCAAAATCATGCAAAAGGCCGGACTGGAGGAATCCCAAGCTGGAATCAAGATTGCCGGAAGAAATATCAACAACCTCCGATATGTAGATGATACCACTCTGATGGCAGAAAGTGAGGAGGAACTAAAGAAACTTGTAATGAGGGTGAAAGAGGAGAGTGCAAAAATAAAATAAAGAAAATAAAGAAATTAAAATGGCATGAAGCTCAACATCAAAAAAATCTAAGATCATGGCCACTGGCCCCATCACCTTGTGGCAAATAGAAGAGGAAGATACGGAGGCAATTAACAACTAAACAACAACAAATGATATAGAAAGGAAAATATTTCTTATTGGGGAGAGTCACAGTACATGGTTAATGCAGAATTTAAGTGATGCCTTTGAATTGTGGTGCTGGAGGAGGCTCTTGAGAGTCCCCTGGACTGCAAGGAGAACAAACCTATCAATTCTAAAGGAAATCAAGCCTGAGTGCTCCCTGGAAGGACAGATCCTGAAGTTGAGGCTCCAGTACTTTGGCCATCTCATGAGAAGAGAGGACTCCCTGGAAAAGACCTTGATGTTGGGAAAGTGTGAAGGCAAGAGGAGAAGGGGACGACCGAGGATGAGATGGCTGGACAGTGTCACCGAAGCAACCAACATGAATCTGACCCAACTCCGGGAGGCAGTGGAAGACAGGAGGGCCTGGCGTGCTCTGGTCCATGGGGTCACGAAGAGTCGGACACGACTAAACGACTAAACGAAACGTACAGTAGCTGGAGCATTCTTTGGCACTGCCCTTCTTTGGGATTAGAGTGTAGACTGATATTTTCCAATCTTCTGGCCACTGCTGAGTTTTCCAAACTTACTGGTATATTGAGTGTAGCACTTTAACAGTGTCATCTTTTACAATTTTTAATAGTTCAACTGGAATGCCATCATCTCCACTGGCCTTGTTGTTAGCCATGCTTTCTAAGGCCCACTTGACTTCGCTCTCCAGGATGTATCCCTCTGTGCTCAGAGTTTACAGAGAAAAACTACACCACATATTTGCGTAGCATTCATGTAGGAAAGGCACTACATCCATGCAGGTACATGTTTCACAACATGAGCTGAGGCTGTATGATGGTTCCCAGATTTTTTTTTTAAAGCTCATACAAAACTTCCCCAGGTATTTGTAGCAAAAAACAAACATCCAAGCTACTTAATTTGCCCACTTAAACCCTTTCCCAGAACAAACCCAGTATTTAATTACTGGCAGAAACCTGAGTTCTATTGACATGAATGGAAACAAGTTCTTTTCAATGTGTAAAATTGGTTATTGTTTTTAACCCACAATGTTTCCAGCACAATACAAAGCCAGTGTTTGTGAGAGCAGGAAATGCTCTCTATGCTTCTGTCTTTTGCTGTGGAACAATGCTGCCCAATCACAGCTAAGCTAAAATATTGAATTTCTCTTGCTACTTTCTTTGAGAAGTCTTTGGTTTCGGGCCAGCAGAGAAGCCCTTACCAACAGCACCGAAAACAAACCAGGGAACGGATCTTGTTTGCAGTCATAGAAATAGCAACTTTTTTTCCTGACCATACAATTTTCACCAAAATCAGTTACAGTTGTACTGGTTAAGGATGAGTCAGAAGGTGTATCCCGCACAAACATGATGATCCAGTAAACACAACTCTGTGTACAGTATACGTATTTGGATCTCAGTTGACAAATATTAGCCTAAAAAGCATCCTATTTCTTCAAGAAAAAAAAAAGGCTCATTGTTAAATTTGGTTTTCCGTGCTTTTAAACTTTTATGAAGATCATAAGCTACTCGAGCGCCACTTTTTAGTGAAAAGGTAGAATATACATGTAAAAGAGAGACTACAACTAATTGCTTCACCAAATAAAATAACTTGGAAAAGTTAAGAGGATGGGCAGGCAAAGTCCAACTGCCAGTCTTGGTTAGCATCAGTCTTCACAGACCTGTGCTGGTAGGTCAAAAATTACATCTATTCTATTAATTCAGTGGGAAAAATCCTGTTAATTGGCAGAGTAAATCACATTAGAGTAGCCCACTGAATCAATAAGGATTTGGTGAGTCCACTCCTCTGTACATTCCATTGACTTAAATGCACCTAATCTGACTGAAACAGAAGTTGAAGTTAGAGTAGGCTCATATGAATCACTGGAATTTGTGAATTCTTATTGATTCAATGTGTCTACTCTACTGCAATTCATCACACTAAGGGTTTTGGTCACTGTGTCTACTCCGGGCAGGACTAACAATTGGTTTTAGGCCCACGGCTCTCAGTGCGTCACAGAAGACATGCTTGTGAGGGAATTCTCACAATTATAGTCCATGAAAGCAATCTTTCCTAAGCTCCGCTAAAGTGGCCTTAACGTTTGTCTGACAGTATTCATTCTGGCAGTTTCTCCATCTTGTGATGTTCCTTGTCCTGCCCTTCACCACTACTTTGCTGCCAATCTTTACTGGGAGTCTTTCTCTTGTGGGGAGTGAAGGATATCCACTTATTTATTCATCTTTCACCATTAGGTCAGACATTTTTTAATTGAGGTGAAACAGCAAACGAGGCCCCAACCAAAGGCAAGATACATAGTAGAGTACTCCAAAACAGCCATGCTATTTTAGTACATGAGGCAAAATATCCCATGGGCATTTCTCAACAACCCTGGCAGTACAAGGTATAAAAACAACAAACTAAACAATTAACAAAGTGCTGTTCTTTTCATGACACCCAAAACATGCCAACCACCTTGCTCTCCTTAATTAATGGTAGCACCAGCCCTTCATTCCACCAACAGGCAACTCATTTGTCTGGTTTAATTGATAGAGCAGGCACAAACATTGCCAAAAATCTCACAAAACAATTCCCCTGACTATACTACTTTTTAAATAAAAATTGTAAAAGCTATTATTGAGTACAAACACATTTATAATTCTGAACAGCGATATCCTAGCTTGTTGTTGGGGTTGGGTTGTTAAAAATATATCCAAACCTGGTCTCACCATCTTCGAAAAAGGAAACATACACAAGAGAATAAAGAGTGCTAAAGACAAATAGAAAAAAAATGTTACAGACAAAACAGGGTTCCCCAGCCAGTGGCCTCCAAATTTAATTGGATTTATTTATGTATTCATTAAAAGATTTATATCCTACTTTATACACAAAAATGTGCTGGACAGTAAGTCCCATCATGGCTAGACAGAGTATTAAATCTCATCACTCACAAGCCAGGATAATGTGTTGGAACTTTTTGCAACAGGGAGTTCCAGCTTCAAATTTTAAAAAGCTTCCTTATTGAGCACCTGTGAACAAGGAATTAGAAAGAGCCAGCACAACACGATGGGTGACATGCTGAATTTGGAGTACGGAGTCCTGAGTTCAAACCTTGGTTTGGATTATGGAGACCTGGGATCATGTTTGTTGCAAGAATAATGAGGAGTCAATGAATATCACATTGGATTTTTTTTAATATAACTACAGTATTTCATAACGGAACCTGTGGTTGTTACTATGAAAACAGAGCAAGCCTGAGGAACAGTGGTGTGAAATACATGTGACAGAGAAATAAAATCAGTGAGCCACCAGATATATAAAAAAAGAATATGAAGGATTTCAGTAGAGGGACACTGACACTGTTGTTTTCATTTACAGTGGTACCCCGCATAACGAGTAATTCGTTTAACGACGAACCCGCATAGCGATGTGTTTTTTGCGATCGCAAAAGCGATCACATTGCTATGTTTGTAATGGTAAAACATCGCTTTGCGATGATCAGTAAGCGTTTCGCTTACCAATGTTCACATAGCGATGTTTTTTTAACAGCTGATCGGCAGTTCCAAAATGGCCGCCGCGTAAATAAAATGGCCACCCGCTGTGTTTTTGCCCTGATTCCTCGCTTACCAGGCAGCGAAAATGGTGGCCGCATGGAGGATTTTCACAGAACTGTGAGTTTTTTGCCCATAGGCAAAAACATGCTTTAATGCATTCCTATGGGCTTCTTTGTTCCGCATAGTGACGAATCCGTATAGCGATGATTTTGGCTGCACGGATTATTGTCGCTATGCGGGGCACCAGTGTATATTCACAGAAAAGCAGAAGTGGATGTGAAAGGGAAAAATAACTCCACATAAGTTGAGAAGTTGTACATATTAGTTTTAAGTATGCTATTTCAGTGGACTTCTGTCAAACTTCACCCTCGACTGTGTCCCCAACACTTCCTTCTGTCTCTGTTTCTTGCATACACATACTAATACTGATAGGAAATTAGCAAAGCTTTGAAGGTGGAAGGATGCAGTCACTGCCTACAGAATGAACCACAAAAGTACATACTAATAGGCACAGTGGAGCAGGACTTATCAGATAAATCTTATCCTTTAATATGCAGATATTTTTGAAGAGCGGGAACAGTACAGTAAATTGGTAATTGCTGCGTTGTACTTCTCACACACTGCTGTTTGTGCCTCACTCACCCAGAGAGAGAGAGAGAGAGAGAAGAACATACAGAGGCTTCCAAAGTTCTCTGATGCCTTCAAGAATAACAAGTTCTAGTTGGCATAAGGCATTCATGGGATGCAATGAATGCCTCTTCAGATGCATGGAATGTAGTCTCAGTAGACACATTCGTGCAATGGCAAAGGAGGAGAGCAAACAGACAGTGGTGGAAATACAGGAGCTCCAGAATGCTAAAGGTCAAATACCAGCCTTTAAAGGTCTTTGATAATGCTTGAAGATGACGGACAGAAATCTAAATGGTGATGGTTAAGAGTCATTTATAAGTCAGTGACACCTACCTTCAAGCATAGATAAGCAGAATAGGACACATAAGGTGACACACCTGACTTCCAAGCTGGAACAGCCTGTCAGTGGTTCTCAGATCCATTCATCTCCAAGGACTCAGAAACTTTATAACAGCTAATTAATTGTAAGGGCCTACCGACTGAACTTTAATTCATTGCATTTATTTGATTACTCTTCTAATCTGTCTCTCCTTCAAAGAGCTGAAGTTGACTTACAAAGTTCACCAACACCATCCATTTTATGCACACTCCAATCCATGCGTGGGTTGGCAGAAAGCAACAAGCCTAAGTGCACTTTTTAATATGCTTCCAAGCTGAATGGGAATTTGAACTCAGCACTCCACCCCTCTCAGTGTGACACTTTAACCACTACACTGTGCAGATCAGAGGTGACAATTTTCTCAAAACTGTGAATACATGGCTAGGGTGGGGGAGTAAGATCCTTACACTATGTGTACAAGTATCGAGGTCTGGCACAGCTACATTATCCATACAAACAGAAGAGCGCATGATGTACTCTTTCCTTACTAACTCCCCCTACCAATGCATAACCAGGTGTCTCTTCAGTGCAGAACTCTTGTGCATTGCAGAAGATCCTGGGAGACATCTTAAGGATCACAAGTCATCTCAGACGAATCCTTTGATCTCACACCTGCTCTGTAGGAAATAAGAAAGCATCTTGGAGCACACGGGCATTTCACGGAAGAAACAGCAACAGCAGGTGATCTGTTTTAGATTTTTCTTTCCCAGAAAAAAAAAATTGGCGCGCCATTACTCCAGAAGATTTTGCACTTCCTAAATTCCAGCCGTGCTTACTTGTTGGTTAGCCACATTCTTGACTCTGATAATATGGGAGGAAGAGTCTTGGGCCCGTCCCTAGGAGGCTGCGATCTTGTTCACTTACTCCACCGGACTTTGGAGGGGTTTCCCTTCCCAGTTAAGCGGCGTTCCAGATCGGGTTGCAAACTTTGCCGCCGTGTGAGTAGTGCCCTGCTGTTGCGACCGCAAGCGCCGGTGGAGCCTCCCTTTTTTTCTCTCCGCCGACCCGAGGCCCCGCAACTCGTCCTGAAAACCTCTTGCAGACAGTCCCGTCCCTGTTGGTTTCCCCCCCCCCAAAATTAAATCTGAGTGCCTTTAGGACCCAGAGGGCTCTTCCCCATTTTAACCCTTTCTCCGCTTGTCGAGGCGTCAACCAGGGCTCGGAATGTTAAGCCGGCGTCGACCCCGGGGAGCGCCCGCTCCTCTTTCTGTGCAAACCCACAGCAGACCGGAGACGAGAGTGCCTCTGAGCATAGTCAAAATGCCTTTCTATCATGAGTCGCGTATTCTCAAACTTATTTCTACACATCTGGGATCACTAGGGGGAAGGACTTCCCGGGTCAGAGGGATGTGGTTTCCGGGCAGCTTTGAGCCCCGGCACCTTTTTTTTTTTGGAAAAAAAAATTAATTTGGAAAATAACCGCCGGCAGACTAGCCTCCAGCAGCAACCGGTTTAAGTTGCATCCTCTGGAGCGCTAAACACAGAACCGTGTTACGCCCTTGAGCCAGCCTGCCGCGGCTTGCGTACAGCGCACGCCGCTGGGCAGAACTTAAAAATTTTTTCCAACCAGGTATCGTTGCCCCTCTTCCCGATCAGTATTGCAATATTCCTGGGATGTTTTGGCTAGACTGGTGAAACCAGTTGCACCCGGCCCTCCACTTTTCGCCATGCATCGTCTTGGCGGAAAGGAGGCGTATGAAGAGTCTTAGCTGCCTGACGAAGAATGCGGTGTAATCCGGAAACTTGCGGGGAAAGCGATGCAGGGGAAGAAAAAAAAAACCTTACTCGGGAAAGAGAATGGGGGGAAAATGCGTGAAGGGGAGTAGCATTAGCCGGAGCTTAATTTGCTTATGTTATTGGACTTCCCCTCCTGCCGCTTTAAAAAGATCTGTTGCTTAGGTTAGAAAATCAATTAACAGGGGAAAACCTGCCAGACCTGTTTCGAACTGATTAATTGGAGAACCTATGACAGGAATTAACTGTTGGCATTTAAGGTGCCAAGAAATTTTTGTTTTTTTCATTTTATAAGGTTTTTTTGTTTGTATATATTTGGGCAGGAGAGTTCATGTATTGCAAGGGGGAGGTTTAAAATATTATGCAGGAACCTGTCTATTTTTTATTATTATTATTTTATTTAGATAGCCTGGGTGTAAGTAATAGGAAGAGTTAACTGAGATGTTTTGTTTCTTTAAAAATTAGTGTTGCTAATAAAGTGCGAATTCCACCTGGTCATGAAATAAATAACCTTAACCTCACAATCAATCCCATGCACACTTGTTTCATAATTAGGTCCTCCACAGGGACTACAGTTAAGACTTGCTCCATAATGAATTTTCATATTGCAGAAATCATGTGAATGGAATTAAGGCAATCTAGGTCCCTCCAGATGAGGTAGGACTGCATAACTCCTTACCGTGGGCTATGATACCAAAAGCTGCTGGGAATTATAGGCAAAAATATGAATAAATGAATGTGGAGGGCCTCAGTTGCTGTCCCCTGGATTAGTAGGTGGCAATTCTGATTGTGTATTAATGCATGGAGTCCTAATTTTGAGAATTCACCTACTTGCTTCTACGCTCAAAATCTAAATTTTGTGGGGATTTCCCTCCTAGCAGGTCAGTTTATGCTTGCAGCCTCATCCAGTGCTTGAAGTGCAAAGGGAAAAGCAGCTTTCGTACATCCAGGGACCATTCTTTTGCTGCAGGAAACATGGGGGGGGGGCACAGATTTCTAACAGGCCAAGGGTGGAAGACCGGTACCTAGAAGTTTTGAGAAATGGGTTTGGGGGATGTTGGATGTGCATGAAGAGAGTAGTGACCCATTTGAAAAGTGAACCTCCATTCCTGGAGGTTTCCAGGATCAGTTTGTTTTTTTCTTAATGGGTGGGGAGAGGTGGGGGACAGCTAGCTACCAAAAATGAGCCTTGGGGGGGTGTCTACATTTTGCCCACTGTAACAAGTGGACTCACTTTTATTCCTGTTGTAATGCACTCAATTCTTTGCTTCATATAAACTGAACTGCTGGATAGGCTCAGTGGTTTAGGTCTCTGACTGTGGAGCCAGAGGTTAGGAGCTCAGTTCCCCCACTGTGTCTCCTTGGTAAGGGCTGGATTCAATGATCCATGGTATCCCTTGCATTTAGTTTTAAGATGATGGTATGGCTCTCCTGACTACTTTTTACTGGAGTGTAAAGCTGTTGAATATAATAGGACTAACTCCTTATTCCAGCACAGGATTTTTTTTAAATGCACACAACCTCCAGGACTTTAAACCAATGTGTGATGGGCACAAACCAACTTGTGAAATGTTTCTGAAAATAATTACACTGCTTGATCTCCGATTCTGCTCATTTTGAATTGGAGTTATTCATCATGTCCTTTAGCAAAACTGATCACACCACATTTATTTATTGGAGACTGGAACTGCCTACAGGCTTTGGAATTCTTGCTTGTGCAACCTGTGGCTATAGTAATTAAGGGACTAGTGGACTAGTTGTATCATACATACCTATGTGGGGGCAGGTGATTATTGGGCAGAGATCTATCAAAGAAAGGAGGCGGGCTGTCTGGCTAGTTGATGGCCTTCCTTTGTGAAGCCCATGCTTGCTCCTGGGCTCAGCTTTTGTTTCCATGCACACCCATTGCATACCTGCTAACAATGTCCTCCTATTTATGGGAAATGCAAAATGGTTAAACACACATGGGTGCAATGAGGCCTAGTCAGCTGCTTGTCCCTGTGGATCTGAGCATGCTCAGGGGGAGGAGAGGAAAGTGAGGACATCAGGTTCTAGAAAGTGAAGGTTGCAAAGGCAAGAAGAGGCAGGTAAGGGCAATGACCATCTGAAACTAAAACAAACAGCAATGGCGGGGCAGGGGTTGGAGTTCTTAAGTGGACTTCAAATGTGCACACTGACACACGCTGGATAAATTCTGTATTTTTTTTGGTTGTAAAGGGCAGGAAAGTCAAACTTATAAGTGTTTTCCTCCTGTAAACTCTATCTCATTTTTATACTATACAGTACTAACATCATGTTCTCTTAGTGGTGCAATTGGTCTAGTATTTGAACAGGTGGCTGTAGGACTTTTGCTTTTAAAAAAGTCATAGTTATATATTGGGCCTACAGAAATAGCACTTAAATGTTCTTTGGTGTGGAGGTAAAAATGAATGAATTGCATGTTTTGTGGCTCAGAGATTTGAGAAAATTTAGATTAGGCCTGGTGTAAAGTATTATTCCTATGCTAGGAATAGGCAGATTGACTTCAGCGTTGTATGTGTCCCTGGAAGTAATTTTTTCTGAATAAGAAAATATTAGCAGGCTTTTAATTAGCTTCAGGAGGTTTTTAATGATGTGGTTTAAACTCTTGGACTGAAACGTGTTATCTGGTTCAAAAGAGACTGCTTATGTTTATTTAGGGCTAAACATTCTGCTCAAGGCATAATTTCCTAATAAAGGAAAGTCTGTGATATATACTTTTGTGAAATGAGTTTATAGTTAGACTGTAATGTATTTTTGCAAACTGTAATCCTTTGACCTCAAGAGTAAGGAATAAGGCTCATTGAACTCAATAGGGCTGACTCCACCAGAGAGAGAGATATATACAATTGCACTGGTTGATTTCTCTGCTTCCCACAAGAATCAGGGAAGCTCAGTGGTATAATCTCAAAAAAAATCTGAACCAGGTTGAAGATTGTCTATGCAGAACTGTAAGATTAACTTGAGAAGGAAATTTATTCTTGCTCAGTTAGAACTCATGCTAAATAAGGTTTGGGGAAGATACGTTTTCTAAGGTTCTGCATAATTCTTGTTTTTTTGTCTTTCTGGGAGGAACCCTTCTTTTTATTGCTCACTACCCTAGGCTATGGGAGGGTAGCTCCCCCCCCCCAGGTTTTATTTTTAAATGCTAATAGGTCTAAGCACTACAAGATTATTTTGATTTGTTTGCCTTTTAACCATGACCTCAAGATAACAGATAAAGTTTACATTTTTGATGGCTAGCCAAGTTACAAACAGGTTTTGCTAGTTGTTGTTATTATTATGTGCCATCAAATTGCCCTATGAATGAGCAGTCTTCAAAATGCCCTGTCTTCAATTGTCCTGCTCCGCTCTTGTCAACTCAAACCTGTGGTTTCCTTTACCAAATTTATCCATTTCTTATTTGGTCAGAATATTATTGATTTCATGATATACATAATGTTTGATTACAGATTTCTAGACTTCTTTGCTATAATTCCTTCCTCTTGGAGTTCAGTAACAGACAAATGGATCCTTCTTGCAGTGGTTCCCAACCTTGGGTCCCTAGATGTTCTTGGACTGCAACTATCAGAAATCCTGACCAGCAAAGCTAGTGGTTAAGGTCTATGGATATTTTAGTCCAAGAACATCTGGGGACCCAAAGTTGGGAACCATTGTTCTAGAGTTCTGTTGTGCAAGAAGATTTGTTAGATACACATCAAATCTATTCTAGAAATGGATAAGGGTAAATGCGTTCAGAGCAGGCCAGCAACTGTGAAGTGTGCCAGGCAAAAGAGGGTTGATCTTAGTGTAATGTGTGTGGGAATAATATGCTGCAACAAATCTTAGGCTTGCATGCTTCCCTCCTCCTTGCACCCAGCTGGGAGCAAATACAATATTCAGAAGTACCTGTACTTAATTTGGTTTGGGGCAGCTACGGTGTGTCAGGTTGTCTGCCACAGTAATTTATGAACAGTGTGCGATAATAACAATTTGCTTATCCTCAGTTCTCCACTCCCCCGTCAGCTTTTTATTAAAAATTTCATGATGTAAATATATGGAGATCTTGAAAATCCATATACATTTTGGTTGGCCTAATACTGATGTAAGGCTTAAGATAAACTACAACTAATTTCAAACAAGCTGTTATGAAATTAGTTTGTAGAAATCTTATACAGTACTCATGAGCATAAATCATAGTTGAAAATCAGGTAAGACAAACTGTGGTTTCAAGCTTCCAGACATCTTTTCCTCTTAGCACAGGAGCCAAAATGCTGGCTGTAGCTTATTCCTGCTTATGCATGTCATACTGGACCCTGCTTTAGTGTGCCATGCATACCTGGCCACAAACTCCATTTGATGAAAGCTCGTGGTTTAGATATTTGGCTATGGAGCCAGAAGTTGGAAGTTTCCTCACTGTGGCTCTTTGACAGGAGCTGGATTCGATCATCTGTAGGTCCCTTCCAGATCTGCAGTTGGAAGATGGTGGTGGTGATGATGACTGTTTGATCCTGTTCCAAGGATCACTTTTCCCATTATAACTGCTCCTGCCCCAGCAACTTTTTAAATCAAATTTGCAGTTTCTCTTCCTATGAGCCTCACAGATTTCTCCTTTCCCCCTGCCCTGGTCAGATTTTGGCACATTGATCACAGACGTTCCATACCAGTCTTTTTTGGGACCTAAGGATTAAACTTCTCATTCTTCCAATTTTAAACAACTATGGTGGATTCAACACCTTTTTTTAACCAGGGGCCACACAGGCCACCAAAAATGCCTGCAAATGAAGAAAAAAGGAAAAGAAACTGCAAAAGGTTAGAGTCCCACTTCTAGTTTTGAAAAATTGGTATTAAAGGGTGTTAAATGGTGCAGAAAGACTTTTGTGCACTCTTTAAAAAATAAAGTGCCAGTCCTGGAGGATTCTGGAGCTACCCTTTTTGTTGTTATTGGTTTTGGCTAGAAAAGAGGGGTCTGCCAGAGGGCTGGGGGCTGTTAAAGCTTTAACCTCTTCCCATTCTACAGCAGAATATTTCATGCAGCTATTTTATTAGTGCAGAGCAGCAACCATTAAAAGAGAGGAACTGTTATTACCTTGTTTCCATGAAAATAAGACCTAACCTGAAAATAAGCCCTAGTATGATTTTTCGGGATGCTCATAATATAAGCCCTACCCCAAAAATAAGTCCCAGTTGAGTGAAACCGTGCCCTCCACCATTGTGCAGCATTGTGCAGCAACCAGAAGATGACATGGCTGTATTTGAATAAATGTAGATTGTCGTACATGAAAAAAAAAAAAAACATAAGACCCTGTCTTATTTTCGGGAAAACATGGTATATGTCTTAATATTCCTAGAAGTTGAGCAAATTGTCCAAACCTGAGCCTGTAGATGTCTCAAAGCTATGTTTTTGAAAAAGTTGTATGCAAGAAAAACCTATAAACTAAACCAGTCATGTTTAACTGGGGGAGAATTGTTTTTTTCAAAGACTAAGCTTTTCTTAGCCCAATCCAATTTGACAAGTTTACTTGAATGTAAGTCCCACTGAGTTCAAATAAGCCTGCAGAGGATAAATGGCTTAGTAGCTGGAACAGTTTTATTTAATCATAATTTCCAGGTTCACTTTTTTGTGTGCGTGCGTGCACGTGTGTATGTGCGTGAGTGCGCGCGTGTATGTGCGCGCGCGCTTCAGGGCTTTTCTCTCAGTCAGGCAATCTCTCTTAATAGCCCCAAATTTAGCAAACCAGCTTCATGGGGTTAGCAACTGGTAGCTTCTTAGAGATTGCAATAATTAACGTTGCAAATTATTTCATTAAAACGTCACGTTCATGTTCCTTGCTTATTTATTTTACCTTTTACTTTCATGAAATATCCTACTGTTCTTTCTGTAAGCGCAGGGTGGCTCATATGGTCCTCTTGCTCCCCCACTGTATCCTCCCAACAATCCTGTGAGGTGGATCAGACAGGGCTCGGCCCAAAGTCACAAGTGGATTTCATGGTTTAGTGGGACTTAAACCATGATCTCCCAAGTCCCGGTCTAATCCAATGTATCATTATTACCCTCCAGCTGGACATCAGGACCATTTAAGGAACTACCGCCTGGCCTGGGCTGTCCGTGAAGTAGTAGCTGGAAAATAAAACACAAAGGCCTTATAAGCTTCGAAGCCGACACACGGACACACAAAATGAGGAGAAAAATTACCGCCAAGCGGAACATGGTGGCTCAGTATTTCCAGTGTCCGGCAGCCGCCCCACCAGAGCAGCGAGTCCAACCACTGGTGAAAATGGAGAAAGAAATGGACCCAGCTGGTTCTGACTCGTTGGGGATATCAGAGGGTTCAGTAAAAACCTATCGTATTGTGCAGGTTGGGACTGCTGGAGGAGGCCTAAGGCTGGTGGCACCTCAGCAGACCAGGAGCGAGCGTCTGGAGACACCCCAGCGATGGGAGATTCAGGGGCAAGAGCTGCCCACTCCGGACCTGACTCCAGTCCAGTCGCCCGCATGGAGGAACCTCCAAGTGCCCGAACTCACCCTGACAGAAGATGTGGAGACCTATTTAGCTACCTTTGAGGACGTGGCCGAGGCCTGCAAGTGGCCAAGGGAACAGTGGGTGACCCGGCTGGTGCCAGCCCTCAACGGAGCCGCCCTCCAGGCTTACAATAGTCTGGATCCCAGAGAGAGCGAGGATTATGGGAAAGTGAAGGCTGCCATCTTGCGGGAGGATGCCGCCAGCCTGGAGAGGCAGCGCCAGAACTTCCGGCACTTCCGCTACCACGAAGCCGAAGGCCCCCGTGAGGTGTGTGCCCGGCTCCGGGGGCTATGCCATCGCTGGCTGGAGCCGGACAGCCGCACCAGGGAGCAGATTGTAGAGCTGCTGGTTTTGGAGCAGTTCCTAACCATTTTGCCGGAGGAAATGCAGGACTGGGTTCAGGAATATCGCCCCAAGACCTGCATCCAGGCCGTGACCCTAGCAGAGCATTTCCTGTTGAAGCAACAAGAGGGTGAGAGATGGGACCAGCAGGTGAGAGCATTGTTTTACGGGATCTGGAACGGGATTTTCTTACGGGATCTGGAACAACAAAGCTTTGATTATCTTACCGGGCTGTAATGCAGAATCTAATATAGGGTGGACAAATGGGGTTCTGCAGGCTCCCTGAAGCCTCCCAACAGCATATTTGTGACCTTTCAAGACCTCAGTTAAAAAAAATATTTTATAAATAAATTTTATAAATTTATAAATAAATGCGTAGAAATGTATTTTTCCCCATTCCTATTTCTGGTTTAGGGTGATGGGTGGGGATTTATTTTTAAAAGAAAAAAAAACCACAAAACCAGAACTGGTTGTCCAGACGCTCCATATTTATTTCCTGCTCCTCAACCCCGTTTGCAGGGCATTTCTGGGCCTCCTGCAGCCTGTGGTAAATCCTGTTACACACATTTGGCTTGCATGTCAACATGGGAAATCCCAGGGTTAATTCTAAAAGAGTAGGTTTCCTTCCTTATTGTCCCTGGATATTGGCAACAACAAAATTGTAAAATAATAGGAGTACCATTGTTTTTGTTGTGGCAGGGAACACAATGTCTTAGGCTGGCCCTGACCTAAATGTTTTGTAATTAATGACATTATTTGCCTCCTTTTCTTACTCTCCCCTCTTCCTCAAACGGGCTCCTTGTGCTGTTTTCAGGTGCTGGGGCCATATGTGCTTGAAGAGGGTGCGAGTTTTCCAGAAAATGAGCAATTGCCGTTGGACACCAGGCAGATGGTGGTGTGCAGAGAGGCCAAGGAAGAGCTGAACAAGCACTCTTCCTCACTGGGTAAGGATATTTCTGTGGCCTAAGCAGAGTATGCAGATAGGATTATACGAAGATAATATAGTGAAATGAGCTTTTAATAAGGCTTCATGATAACAACAACAACAAAATGAGAGTTGAGCCATATGTCCGACAGAACCAGACAGAACAGTGTTTCTGTAACTGTACAGTGTTAAGAATGCAAGAGGATAGCAGGAGCTTTTCTGTTTTGTTTCGCTTCTTTCCCAAACTGGGAACCAACCATAACATATTTTTTTTAAAGCTAGCAGGGTGCATCCCACCCTGGATCCCTGAGAGTCAAAAGTCCAGATCTGCCAAAATTGTCCACCACTTCTTTGCGTGTTAAAGAAAAATGAATGTATCAAGGTGAAGCTTAGATTTAGAAACCTCAACAGCATGTTGAATTTCTGTAAGCAGCTATTTTTTTTTTAATTTGGTCTTAAATCAGGCACTCCTTCTCAGCCTAATCTACCTCACAATGTTACTACAATGTTCTGATGGGTGGCAGTAGAATCATATAAAAAAGCCTGAATACCTTGGAATCTAATTACAGTGCTGCCTCACTTAGCGATGTTAATCCGTGCAGAAAAAATCACTGCTAAGCAATAACATTGCTAAGCGAAAATAAAAAGCCTATAGAAACGCATTAAAACGCGATTAACGCGTTCCTATGGGCTAAAAACTCACCTTTAAGCAGAGATCCTCCATACTGCCATCATTTTCAGTGCCTCTAAAGTGAGGTATCCATGCCTGAAAACAGCGGGCAGCCATTTTGTTTACCCGCTGGCCATTCTGAAACCGCCGATCAGCTGGCCAAAAACAGGGGCTTTGCGATGATCGATTCCCTGTGATCATCGCAAAGCAAATTTCCCCCATAGGGACCATCGGCAAAAAGTCCGTCACAAAGCGATTTCGTCGCTATATGAAGCGATCGCTATGCGAGGCACCACTGTACAACCACTGCACATATTCCTGGAGGCAGTAGAAGTAGTATGTTGCAGGTCAGATTTAACAATGTCAAGGAAGGCTTCTGGTATTATGAGCTCCTTTTTATATATAAAACACTTCTTGCAGAAAACCCTTTTGCAAGTTAGTTCACTTAGATAAAATAGTAACGGTTGAAACTGGGATTTTTTTTCCTTTCAATCCTGCAGCTGAGGAGAGTGAGACCAAAAATGAGGATGGGTTCCTAGTCCAGGAAAATACAAAGAGGCAAAGAAGCCGGCTCCCTCCTACCTTGCAGCTGTCCCAGTTTGCCCGTCTGAACTCTGATGGCCATGGGGTTGCTAACAATAAGCAGGCCAATCCCAAGCAAGAAGCGCTTTTCCCATGCCCTGAATGTGGGAAGAACTTCTCTCGTAAATCCACGCTCACCAGGCACCGGAGAGTCCACACGGGGGTCAAACCACACCAGTGTACTGAATGCGGGAAACGATTCTTGCACAAGTTTAACCTGGTGAACCACATGCGAACCCATGTGCGAGAGGAGTCGAGCCGTTGCTTGTTGTGTGGGAAACACACCAAGCGGAATTCGGGACCGGGTGGCCAAGAGAGAAAGGCCGGGTGTTGTGAGTGCACTGAAAGTTATGGCTTGCAATACAACACAGAGGAGAGAAGGCCTGAGGTGGAGGAACCCTTCAGCTAACCTGAATGGAGGGGAGAAACATTTAGCTGACTTGAATGTAGGAAGTAATCGTAGGAAATATTCTGAATCTTCCTCAGCCCTGGAAACGTCTAGAAATTGGAACTTTTAAAGAAATGAGAACTACCTTCTGATTAGGTCGTTCTGACTTTCATAAATAGTCAAAGCAAAAAAAAAATGCCTTCAGCAGCTCTGTTTGGTTAAATATTTGGGGTTTTGTTTTGTATCGTTTTGCTTTATTAATTTGTAAAAGTAACTGGGGGGAGTGAAAGGGGGCAAGAAAATTCTAATATACATTTATATGAATCAAGTTCCTGCTAAATCCCAAAATCTAAAGGGAAACAAAGATGCCTGGTGGATCACACAGATGACCTTATAACCCAATTGTAGTTGCAATTCTCCCCCCAAAAGCCACTGATTGAATAGTATCTATCCGTACACACTTCTCAACAGACAAAGCAGCTATGGCTATAAATTGTGGGTGATAATCCAATAGCAAATTTTGAAGGATGAAATCCAACCATGAATCAGATTTCTAAAACCATGTTTATATCCAAGCTACAAGTGTCTTTATTGGATGGTGCAGGAAGACTATGTGGACAGGGGCTATACATTCTTCATATCTTGGTTGGTAGTTTACATGGCCAGAATTCGACTAGTCTAGTCATGATAATGCAGGCACGACTACAGCAATGGTGTAGTGCTGCAATATACAGGGAGAATACTAAATGGGGAAGGATATTGAGAGCTACAGTTCAGTTCATTTGGAGGCTCGCATGTTCTCCATCCCTGAGGAAAAGTGTGATGGAGTGTTGCCACAACAGTCTTCAATCCAGTGCTGCCTCCTTCATGGTGATCTTTAGCAGAACAAATTTTGTATTGTGAGAATATAGGTGAGAATTTGTAGGATGTCAGCCTTTTCTTTGAATTTGTTTAAATAGTGGCACATTAAGAAGTGGAAAAAAAATCACAAGAGTCTTTGATGTCCCCTTCAACTTTTTTTTGTGTCAGCAGCCCACTGCCATACTTACATTTTCTTTTTGCTTCTTTGTTTATTTTCAGTCAATAATTTTTTTAAACTTTTTAAAAAAAGAACTACAAGAGTCTGGGTAAGATTCAAAGTGCTGTCTACCTAGTTCCTTGTGTGTAAGGAGACATAAGGAGATATCCTTACCACCGGACAAATGTTTTAAAATGGCAGTAACTATCAGAAGCAGTTTGTGAATGAGAAATTAGAATTCTGTTGTTCAGAAAGGGGAGGTCTTTTGTGCTTAAGGTAGCTCTGCGGTTCTGTATGTGGTTTTTGTTTGTTTTTCTTTTCATTTTGGACATGACTGTCAAATACATTTCAAGTCTTTCAAGGCCTTCTATCTAACACTACTTTCTAACCCCATAACACTGTTCATAGACCAAAACTGCATGTTTGGGATTTTGCAAAGTAATAGCTGCATATGTAAATTTTAGATTTTTTTAAAAGAGAAAAAATGTTTTGTAAAATTTTTATTAAAGCTTTATTTTTTGTAGTTTGCACATTAAAAAAAGTTTAATGTTGTAATTTAAATGTTTTGTTTCTCCTCTTCCACTTAACTCAAGGTTGAGCATGCTCCAATAGTTTATTTAGTCCCCCTGAACCCAAGAGCAGTCCTATAAAACCAGTTTATATGGCAATATTGTGGTCATTTTAAAAAGAGAGAGTTCACACAAGGGAAAATAAAGCTCCAGTCCCTTGCACATTTACCTGGAGGGAGTTCCACTGAACTCAATGGAATTTTATATCAAACTTCAGTACATATAAGGCAATGGCTATATATAGGAGCATGCCAAAACATTAATCTTTAGTGCAGACTTTTTAAGTTCTCCTATGGGAATTGCCACATGGACAAATAAAAGAATCTTGCATCTAAAAGTTTTATTTGGCATAAAGCTTTTGTGGACTCTTATGCCACCAACTTTTATTTGTTTACAGACCAATAAGGAGACCTTCTGCATACTTTCACATCAGCCGTTCTCAAGAGGGGCACCATATAGCCCCCCCCGGGAGACCCTGGCACATTTGAAGGGGGCCACAGCCTGGGAACAATTCTTCACACACCACCTTCTAAGGTTCATTATGTGACTTATACATTCCTGATTCAGCATATATTGTCTTCCACAATGTGTTTATGGCCATGGCCAAATCAAAAGAAAAGTTGAGAAAAGCTGTTCTACATGGACAAGCAGGACTTGGTTCAGCAGCTACAGCTATCCAACATGGCCGTTTCCTCAGCCACTTGTACCCTTCCCCTCTTAGCAGGCCCCTGCAGCTGAGTTTCTAACAAGACAGGTCCAGCAATATTGCTTGTGGACACACAGAGTGATACAGATCCTCCAGTGTGAAGTTCCAAGGCAGGGCCATCTTCTCCTTTGTCCCTCTCATTGGGCCCACTGCCTTTGTCCGACCAGCGGCCCAAGATGGCATCTAGTTCCTCAAAGTACTGCCACACTTGACGGCCACGGCCGTAGCGCCTGTTCTGGTCTTTAGCATCCCGGTAGCTGCGGCGAAGGTCTTTGGCACGCTGACGGCACTGCTCCCAGTCGCGGTCGTACCCCAGGGCAGCCATCTGTGTTGCGATCTGCTTGTAGACCTCCTCGTTGCGGTACTGTTGGTGGAGCTGACCTTGGACACTGTCATGTCCCCAAATGCTCAGGAAATCCCGAGTCTCTCTCTCCCCCCATTTGGCAGCTCGCTGAGCAGGAGTCTGGCCACCAACCTGCTCTGCATGGCCATTGCTGTCCGTAGTCTCTTTAACCTGCAACGCTGAAGTGTCTGGTGAATTTGACCTTTCAGCTGGGTGAGTGTGGCATGAAACATGATGCCCTAGATGGTGTTTCTGGGTGCAGGTCCCCCCAGAAGCACCATCTAAACCCACCTGCTCCTCGACATGCTCACTGCCCACTTCATACCACCTCCTCAATATCCCGTCCAACTCTTCAAAGTACTGCCACATCTGCCTTCCCCGTCTCGAGCACAGGTTTTGGTCCTTCACCTCCCGGTAGCCCCGCCGAAGATCTTTGGCCCTTTGGCGGCACTGCTCCCAGTCACGCTCGTACCCCAAGATGGCCATGTCTGCTGCTATTTTCTTATAAACCTCCTCATTCCGATGATGGTGATGGAGCAAGCTCTGGATGTGGTCTTGACCCCAAATGCCCAGAAAGTCCAGCGTCTCTTTCTCCCCCCATTTCTCGGCTCTTTGGCAGGGCACCGGGAGGTCCTCCACCTCCTCGCTAGAACCTGACATCCCATCCATCTGATCAGAGTCCTGAGCCCCCACAGGGCTTGCGTTCTGTGTGGACAGCCCTTCGTCCATAAAATCATCTTTCCAGTTCTGCAAGGAATCTGCTCCCTGCCCCAGAATCACATCCAGCTCTTCAAAGTACTGCCAAACTTTACGGCCACGAGCAGAACGCCTCTTGCGGTCCTTAATGTCCTTGTAGCCGCGCCGGAGATCCTTTGCACGCTGACGACACTGCTCCCAGTCCCTGCTGTAGCCCAAGGCTGCCATCTCCACCGAAACCTCTTTATAGATGCCCTCGTTCCAGTGCTGCTGATGGAGAAGTCTCTGGACACGCTTCTGCCCCCAAATCCGAAGGAAATCCCGCGTTTCCTTTTCCCCCCAGTTGGCAGCTCTCTGGAAGAGGGCCTGGCTATTATCCTTCCTTTCCTTGAGCTCCATGGCCCAGATGCCATTCTGTTCCATATCAGCAAGCTCAGCTGAGCTCTGGGAGTCGGCCTCCATGGACCCTCCAAGGCAGATGTCCCCACCTAAATCGCCAGCACCATCGTTTCTCTCATACCTGTGACCCAGTTCCAACAGTGGGCCAAGAATGGCATCCAGATCCTCAAAATACTGCCACATTTGTCGCCCACGTCCAGTGTGCCAGTTCTGGTCTCTTACGTCTTTGTAGCCCCGGCAAAGCTCTTTAGCACGCTGGCGGCATTGCTCCCAGTCACGGTCATAGCCCAGGGCTATCATTTGCAGAGCAATCTTCTTATAGACCTCCTCATCCTGAGACTGGTGCTGCAAAATCTTCTGGATGTGCTCATGCCCCCAGATGCTCAGGAAAGCTCGGGTCTCTTTCTCTCCCCAGTTAACAGCACGCTGCTTCTCACATGATGTGGTTCTACAAGTCTTTACCCCTGATGGGAACAAGGAAAGAAAAAAATAGATTCAGTTTTTTGCACGCCAGTATAAGCTGGAAGCTGTTCTCTCCCGCAAGGCAAGTGCAATCTTTAGTTACCTAAAATTGCAACTGTTAGGATGATTCCCCCCCGCTCCCGTCCCATGGTTTCTGTGACTTCCAAATGATGAAATGGGTTACATGAGAGCTTAGAGACAGGATAACTTTAATTTCTCAAGAGTTGTTATGGCTAATACCATCATCAGCCTTATGAGGTCTGTCACAGCAACAGGTGCTCAGCCAATAGTTCAGGAAAGTTTGGGATGGTCGCAGTTTTAGAGCACATTAGGAGGACATATCCTTGGGAGAGTCTACAGAAAGTAGCTGCTTTAGGACCTTACAGACTGCCTAAGCTACACAGGCTGGTTCATCTACTGGGAGGCAGTGGGCGGAATTGAACCCCCAACCCTTGGCTCCACAGCCAAGTGCTTTGCCTCACAGCTATCCAGCCAGTTTCACGGCTACAGCCCAGTCCATCTGTGGTATTTAATGAGATGAGCTACAATTTTAAAAAAAAGCTAAAACTGGTTAGTTTTTAAGATGCCACAAATTTCTTTGGTGTCTTTATTTCACCTGAACCAGACGGATAAGCCCTGGTAAGATTGCATAAACCTTAAGTCTCCTAGATCATCTTTTGAAAGTCCTGCCTTTACCCAAACTGTTTTCACAGTGATTTGTTGGATTACTTCTCTCATCATACCCAGCCATGATAGGTTGTCAGTTTAGGAAACAGTGTTAGTCTCATGGTTGTTGTGGGTTTTTCGGGAGAGTGGTCAGTTTAGGAAACAGTGTTAGTCTCCATTGATAGTAAAAAGCTAAGACAACAACATCATTCAATGAATGCAACAGGAATTCCTTCTTACCCATTTCTTGTGGCTCCTTTCCAGAGACAAGGGATAACTTGTACTCAATCTGTCCTTCTCCCTGTTGGGCACTCCTGTCAGGACAGAACTGAGAAGGGGGAGATTCCCTCACAGGGTCTGCATCCATTGTCTCTGAGGTCACTTCCTCAATCTTCACACACACAGCTGCCTGTGGGGGAAGGAGGGAAGACAAGTCAAAGCCTACTGAACTAAACCCTCTATAGACAGAGAAGACAGCCTCATCAGAAGCCAAGCTGTTACTTGTGCTATTGTTGTGCTCGGCTGTTTCAGGAAGAACATCACAGAACTTGTGGTCCCCCACCCAAGTTGCGGCAGCCCCAACTGCTGGTGGAACCTGTTGCTCACCTGATCTTCTGAAGCCTTGGCCTTGAGTCTTGTGTCCTCTTGGAACTCTTCTGCCAGGTCCACGGCCTGAGCACAGGTTTTTGGTTGATGCTCCAACACCCATCTCTGCATTTCCTCTGGCAAGACCATCAAGAACTGCTCCAGAACCAGCAGCTCCAGGATCTGCTCCTTGGTGTGGCTCTCTGGCTTCAGCCAACAACGGCCAAGTTCCCACAGAAGGCTACAGGCCTCACGGGGCCCGCTAGCTTCATGACAGCCAAACTGCCGGAAGCGTTGGCGCCAGGTCTCTGTGCTAACCATGTCCTCTCGCAGAATGGCAGTCTTCACTTTTGCATAGTCCTCCGCATCAATGGGCTCTAGGCTGTTATAAGCTTGCTGGGCATCTCCAGTAAGCAATGGCACAAGCCGCATCACCCACTCAGATTTCGGCCACCCACAGATTGAGGCCACTTGCTCAAACGTGGCCAGGTAGATCTCAGCATCAGTCCCAGGAGATAACTGAGGAAGTTGAGCACTCTTCAGAATACACTCCTGCCCATCTTCTACAAATGCTGCTGAGTTCTTTATTTCCTCGAGCCACTGGACTGCCCCATGAGGGGACAAAACTTCAGGACTAGCACGTGGTGGAGACATCCATAGTGCCTCTATCTGTTTGTCTCCACCGTGGCCCTTTCTGAAATCAGAAACTGGAATCTCTTCTGCTTCCACTTTCACCTGAGGCAAACTGGCCTGATGGAACAGGGTGGCAGCATGGAAGCCCAAGTGGCAGTGGTTTTCCAATTTAGTAGCCATCACAAGGCCTCCGTTTCTCTGTTAGTTCTTGATGGAAGCCACCAATCCTCCACAAAGAGGGGTCTGCAACTAAAACACCAACATGTTTAGACTGAGAGATGCAAAGAAAATGCACTGGGTGCTGTCATGGTTAGAATGTCAGGATAGGATCTATCTAGTTCACTGGACTGTTTTGATGATAAAGTGGAGAGAAGGAAAACCTTGTAAATCAACTGAGCTGGGGGTGGGGAGTGGATCAGAAATACAGCGAATAAATGCAAGTGTCTGTGTTCTCATCCAAAGGATCAGCAAGGATTTTTTTAAAAACCACGCCAAACTTCCTTCTCTTTTCATTCTCCATGTTTATGACATCATTAACCCAACTTTCTATCACATTTCACCCCAAAACAACATGATCTTGTAAAGGGGCTGGGGGCAGACTTGGAATTGCACTCAGTTTTCTTGCACAGGCTTACTCAGAAGTGTGATCCCCCGATTTCAACAGGACTTCTTACCAAGTCACTGCATACAGGCTGGAAGCTTCATAAATCTTAAAAGCACCCCCTGATTTTTATTCAGTGTGAGTGAAGATATATAAAAAAGAGCAACATTCGTCACAAAAGGCAGCCTTTCAGACAAATTGAGAAGTTCAGGCTACCATCTTCCGCACACCGACTTGACAGGAAGGGACCTTGAAATCAAGGGGTCGTGCTTCAAAATAGGCACCCACAAGATCGCACTGTTCGAAGTTGGCAAAACAAAGCCTTCCATTGTGTAGCACAATAAATTCCGAATTCTGTTATTGAAACTGAAGTGTTTGCTGGGAACGTGGAAGGAATATCGGCAATGCATGTCTAAAGGAAACTGGGAAACGGATGAAGGGAATCATTGTTCCCTTCTCCACGCACAATTTATAGCGAATTACAAAGGCTAATAATAAATCTTTTTTTTTAAACCTACAGGCCTACCCTCTCCCAAACCCCAGTCTGCCCTTCCGTGCATGCAAGAGTGCCAGTCCCACCCATATACTACCCAGCCTGTTTTCCTCTCACACGAACCAGCGCCATAAAAACTCTTTTTGCACCGATCCTGCCATTCCGGATTAACCACAACTCTGCCGTCTTCCGGACAGAAAGACGCCTCCTCTGCCCAGGTGCTTGCACCAGGAATCCTTGGACTGCCGCCTCCCCCCCCCC